AGAGGCGGTTTGAGGTAGAGTTGAAAACACGTTCTGACGCGCAGAAACCCGACTTCGGACGAGGACAGCATTGCACCCGCCAGGTGCGCGGATGTTGAGTCACAGGACAGGACACGGCAGGGCGCCCGTCGCTGACCTGGTGAAACACCCACTGTTCTGAGCAAGAAACCAAGATGAGGCGAGAACGCAACCGTCCGTGCCCACGCGTGGGGCGCCGTGCCAGGAGGTGGACGGATGGAAACGCCAGGACCGGGCTGAGAGTCAGCTGGACACGCAGCCGTAGAGAGAGAGGAAATGACAGAGCCGTGGACAGAATCCGTGTGGCCATCTCACCCGACGCGGCCTGGCGTCCAGCTGCCTGGCAGAGGGGACGCAACCTGGAGATCAAGATGGCGACCCATGGGGCCTCCAGTTCCACGACCGTGTGCGCTGGGAAAGCAGGCTGTCGTCGGGGGAGCTGCTCGGCGCTGCACACCGAAGCAGTACAGCTGCTTTAACTATCATCTGCTTCAGCTCCCCTCATCTTAATTCTAATTTACCTAATTGATCTTAGAGAGGAAGCATGAAAGGGGCTGAGTGAGACGTGGGGACCGCAGTCCGGGAGTGGGGGCCTCCCCTCCAGCAAGGGGAGGAAGAGAAAGTGATCGATTCCCTCTCTTTGAGTTCAGAAGCGCTCAGAGGCCAGGCTGAGAGGGAGCAAGAGGGAGGGGCGAAGGGGAGGGCGGGAGGGAACATGAGTTAATAGAGCAACGTGAAAGTCGTGGGGTGACAGAGTCTGAAGTGCAGGTGGTCGTCATCAAAAGCAAAAGCTGTAACAATAAAGACCGAGGAGGAGCCGGACAGGCCACGCGTGGCGCTCGGAGGACAGCGATGGCCTCTGCGGGCAGTTTCTGTAGTGAGGACAATAAGCATGTAAGTCGGGGGCAGCTAGACCAGGAAAGGGGATTGTCGACGACAAGCAGAATCAGTTGTAGACGCCTCGCTTGAGACGTGCAGAGAGACGGGGGGAAGGACAGGACAGCAGCCAGAGCTGGCGGTCAGGGCCAGTGAGGACATCTTTGCTCCCGTGCAACAGCACGCAGAGAAGAGAGAGCCGGGGGACAGAGGGGGATCAAGGGCAGCAGTACAGCAATGACCATGACATGCCGTCACTGCCGCCTCTCGACGCCCGGCACAGAACAGCCCCTCCTCTGCCACTCCTGGCCCTTGTCATGATCCACTGCCTTCCTGGGGACACTCCCAACAGCCCTGGGGGCTCCCACAGCTGTGTAGGCGAGTTACATGAAGCACTGACGAGTTCATCATGAGAATGAAGGGATCAAGTAGATTCTTGGAAATTTTAGTCTCCCTCGCATATATTAGGAAAATAAGGTAAAATTAAAAATGTAAAAAGGACATTGACAGTTGGAGACGAGGTTGATAGAGTATGAAATCATATTTGTGGAGTTGAGCTACTTAAAAATGAAAGTCGATAAATCCCAAGGACAAATGAATGCAATGGTAACATCAAACCAGTGAAAAATCAAAGTGCAGGGCTGGGCTGGCTGCTGAGACATGGGGTGATGGAACTGACCCCACAGACTGATTGGCCACAAGAACAATGATGCGCTATTCAATCCCTGTTATGGCTAATTTGCTGTTTTAAAATCCTGTTGACATTGCATTTGTATTGTTAGGAAATCATGTGTCACCAGAAATCAAGAAAACAGGAACATGCTGATGTGACTGTGACAAGACAGTGTCCAAGGCCTCCAGAGGCCTTCGGAGTCAAAAAGAAAAGGCCAAGTTCAGGTTGATAAAGTTCAGAACTTTAACATCGGCCACGGTTGAGTCCTGTTGGACGTTACTAAATCCCGTTAAAAGTCATTTCCAGCAATTTTTCCTTTAACAGTCAAATTATTTTTAAACTTACAAAATGATTTTTAAAACAAAATAGCTACTAATTCCTCAGAGGGGCGACCAAGTCACTGACGTCATCTTTAAACAAATCTAAGATGGACGAGGAGACTCTGCCAGGAGAGGCGTTCGGGCCCCATTTCTCTTCCAGGATTAAACTTCACATCTTAGAAGGGGCCCGCCCCAAACTGGCTTTTCTGTGGTGCTCAAGGGCCGGGGTGAGGTGAGGTGAGGGGGTCCTCTGTTACAGGCATGGTTTGTGCAGGTGGGCGATGACACACAGAGGTTAGTTACCCACCGTGCAAACTCAGTGCTTGAGTTTTCTGTGCTAGTCCTGTGAGCACCTTGATATTTATTTTACAGGAATTAGCTATTCCCAGTCACATCCACACACACACACGTGTGTGTGTGTGTGTGCACTATATATATAGCTATTATATGCACACACAAAAAGGTCAAAGACTATATTTTATTCACTTAATTTTCCCTTTCTAGACATAAAGGCAAGAGGGAAAAACCTGTTGGTTTTAAAGATATGCCACTTGCCCTCATTTCAGTCATTTTGGTGCCAGTGTGGGAAGGTTATTTGTCTACTATGGAACAGTTTTCCCTGACTGAAAAGCCACAGAAGAGCGATAAAGCCACCAGCCTTAGGGGTGGGACTGCCAGACAAAAGGATGGCGGTTTCCTGTGTATTGATGCAGAGGCCGCTTCAGCACCTCGGACAGCCCCCACGCGCACTTCAGAACCTCGGACAGCGCCCACACACGCGCTTCAGCACCTCGGACAGCGCCCCACACACACCTCGGACAGCGCCCCACCACGCCCCGCCCCCGCAGAGGCGCGGGAGGCCCTTTGACAAGACAGTCCAGGTTTTGCCCAGTTTTCCAACTATCTCGAGATACACGGAATTACGTTCCGTGTGTTCCTGATTAGCTGCGTGTCTTCAGGTAGCAGAGAGATTACTCAAGATTCTCTAATCTCGACCAGGGCTGGTATCAGAAAAGCAGTTTTATTCTCTATCTTCCTTGAACTGGTCCCTTTTATCTTAAGCAAACTGCAGTCTGGGCTCCCACTTTTTAGACATGACTTTTCCAATTATTAATGACTATTCTGAGAAAAAGCACATAAAATTTTGCCCAGAAATGGATGCTATACTTGGCTCTGTGTCATTGATTTCACCAAACATGTCAACACACGCGTCCTTCCTAAGGATACGATGTACACGTATGCTATTTGTGCGCCTGCATGCCACTCCCCCCACGCACTTCTGTATTTTCCAGGGGAAATGCTGATATCAGAGCTAATGAATCTAAGTTAGACAAGCGATTCAGCGCCATTTCCGCAGAAGTCAGTGGCAAATTCTAAATCCCTGATTTTTCCCTCCAGTGAGTCCTTTTGCTGACCGGAGGAACAGTTCCAGTCGTGTGCCAGACAAAAAGAAGGGGATGTGCGCCACGCTGGGTGGGGTGATGGGTGGAGACCGAGTCCCTGAACCAGACTCGGAGCCCTGCCTTTGCCTTTGCTTTCTCCCAGCGCCACCTAGAGCCTGCCCAGGGGAAGCCGCGCGGCGCGCCAAGCACAACAAAATTCGCAGCTTCAAGTCAGATTTCAGGCAAAAAGGTGCATCATTCCTGTCTGCATTGCAGCTTGATTGTCTTCCTGAAGAGTCTCAGCAGTCTAAGCCCCCAGATATTCCATGGGCCCAAGGAAGCCCCTTCCAAAGGCTTCTGGCTCCTGGAGCCAGATGACTGAAGGATTCACGCGTCTCCCTCGGGCGCTGGCCCACTGAACGGAAGGACAGCCCGAGCATCCCACCCTCTCACCAGGGAGTCTGGAAAGGAGCCAAAAGAAAATAAGAAAGTCTCATGCAAGACGGGGTACGGGGGCGTGGGTGTGCACGCGTGTGCGCCAGCACACACAGACACGCAAGCCACACCACAACCCCCTGCCCTTCTCTAGCATACTTTCCACACATTTCATTCATGAAACAAAATAAAAACTAGCAGGAGCAACAATAAAATCTCAGCGGCTTTTCAGAGCTGTCCTGGGAAGGCCCCGGACCCCCGTCCACCTCCATCCTGCAAAGGACATGCCCGCACGGGGCAGCCTGAGCCCAGCAGGCCGTCTCTGTGGCTGGGCCTTGGCACGGTGCCGTGCAGGGCCGCCCTGCGAGGTGCGGGCGGGTTACCTGGAGGGCTCGAGGGGGGACCTATGTGCAGGTGCCCCCAGGTGGGAAACTCCCCAAAGGCACACACTCTGGGTCCCAGAGACCTACACGAGTGGCACCCCAGGGCAGCGCCAGTCCCCCCAGCCTGCTGCCCGCCCGGGTGCTCTTTTCCCTGGGAGGAGAAGGCCTCAGGGAGGAGCACCAAGCTCTGCTCCCCCAGGCCCTCCCTGGCCCCCAGGAGCTGGCCGGGCTGACAGAGGTGGCTGAGCTCATCCCTCCCGGCAGCCCTGAGGTCCTCGGCCCGAGTCATTTGTTACTAAGGTGATATGCAAATCCAGCCTTTGCAGCCGCCGCCGGGAGAGCAGGTCGGGCTCGGCCCAGAGAAGTTTGCGACTCGCAGCTGCAGGAGGGGCCGAGACCGGGGCAGGCGCTGCAGGCGCGTCGCGGGGCGCAGGAGCTCTGAGGTCCTTCTGTTTGTTTATTTCCCAGGAAAGAAAACAGCGCGGCCGCGGCCACCGAGGGGGAAAGTGTCTTGGAGAAGTTGGGGGGGGGTGGGCAGGGAAGGGGGGAGCTCCAGGGCAGGTTCCAGTGACAGGTGGGAGGGGAAGGAGCGGCCGGACTTCGTGCCCAGAGTCCAGAGCAGGAAGAAAGAAGCAGCGAACTCGCGCGCCCCGAGGGGTCATCTCTGGGGACCCACAGCACGAGGGGCGAACAGCGACCCCCACCATCCAGGGACCCCCCCCCCAGCCGATCCACATCCCGGCGGCGCGCCACGACCTGCTCCCCCTGCAGCCGCGGGCTCGGGAGCCGGACCCGCCAGGGCTGGGCGGGGGGGGGGGGGGGGGGGAGGGGAGGGGAGGGCGGGGGCCCCGGACCCGCCGCGCCCCGCGCCGCCGCGCCCCGCGCCGCCGCCCGCACCCCAAGGTGCTCTTACGTCCTCGTCGTCACAGTCGCTCCGCGCCTGGTACTGGAACCGGGGCCGGCCGCCCGCGCCCCCGCCGCGCTCCCGGGGCGCCGCCGCCGGGGCCGCGGGGGGCTGGGGCCGCGCGCCGTCCTCCTCGGGCCCCGGGCCGCCCAGGAGGCGACTGGCCTCCGGGGGCGCCGGGAAGGAGCGCGAGGTGTTGATCTTGCCCGAGAAGCGCTGGTACAGCGAGGCCATCGGTGCGCGCGGGCGCCTGTGCCGGCTGCCGCCTCGCGGGCCGCGCTCCGGGGAGGCGGGGCGGGAGGCTCCGGGGCCGCTCCCCGCTCCGCGCTCGCCCGTCGCCGCGCGCCGCGGGGCGCAGCCTCCGCCCCCCGCCCGCGGCGCCCGGCTGGGGGTGCTCGGCGCGCGCTCGCGGCCCCGCGCGGCCTAACCCGGCACCGCGGCGGCGACAGCCGGGCCCGGGAGGGAGGCAGCGCCGGGCCGGGATCTGGCACCACCTAGAGACGCGAGCGGAGCCGCGCGAACCTCCCCGCGCCCCCCCGGCCCCGCGCGCGGCTCCGCCCCCGGCCCTCCACGCGCAGGGGTGACGGCGCCGCGGCGGCGGGCGCGGGGGGCGCGGGGCGGGGGGCACCCGGGGCGCGGGGGCCGGCGGGGGGCGCGCGGGGATGGGGCGCGCGGTGGCCCCGCGGAGGTCGGGGCGCAGCCTGGGGCGCGCCGGGAGAGCGGCCGGGAGAGCGCGAGAGGGGGGGGGCCCGCAGGGCCCGGGCAGACCCCAAGAGGCGCCCCTTCAGGCGGGGGCTGAGCGCGGCGGCCGCCCGGGCACCCCCGCCCCGAGCGGGAGCCCCCGGCGCGCGCCTCCGCCCAGCTCCTCGGCCTCAACTTGAAAGAACCGGGGAGACCCCGGCCCGGGGTGCGGGGCAGGGGCAGCGCTGGGCGGGAGGGCGCGGGGGCCGGGGCGGCCCCTCCTCCGGGCCGAGCTCCCGGGGCAGCGCCTCCTTCCCGGCCCGGGCGAGGAGGGGCGAGGAGGGCGGCGCGGCGCGGCCTGGGGGGCCTGGGGGGCCTCCCCGCTGCGGGGACTCGCGCGACCCCGGCAGACGCCTCCGCGACGTGTGCAGCCTCTCCACACCTCGCCACGCCCCCCTCGAGCCCCCCGGGAGGAAGAGGCAGCGAGAAGGGACCCCTAAGGGGCGCCCCGCTCCGCTCCCGCCGCAGCAGGACGTGCTCCAGCGCCCCCGCGTGGAAGGACGCGCGCGGGGCCGGCGCCCCCCAACCCCCCGCCCCCCCCCCCGTCAGCCCCCCCCTCCCCGCCCGCCCCTGCCCGGCCCTGAGCCGCCCCCCCCTCTGTCCCCCCGCCGGGCCCTCCTGGACGTGCCCCGCTTCCCGACCTGGGCTTGGCCGGCGCCCCTTCCCCTGGGGGGCCTTCCCCGCAGTCGGGGCCCTGCAGCGGGGCTGAGCTCCCCATCCCAGCTCCCCGCCGCTCCGCAGGGAGGCACAGGTGAGGAGCCGCACAGGTGAGGAGCCGCACAGGTGAGGAGCGCCGGGCTACTCTTTGCACAGGGGCGCACGCCCCCACCTGCCTGTGCTCAGCTTCCAGCGCGCAGCGGGCTCCCTGCCGCCCGGGTGGCCCACCCGTGCCCGCCCAGGCTTTCAGGAAAACAGGAGAGGCCTGGACTGCCCCAGGCTCGCCTGGTCAGGGTCTGAGTTAAGTCCATGTTGGGGCATCACCCTCCTGAGGTCCAAAATCCCAGCGAGACCCCGCCTGGCCAGAAATGGCCCCTTCGGGCTGTCCCCTTCGCTCGGCCAGCAAAACTGGCCGCCCAGGAATAAGTCCCCCAGGAGAGGCGGCTCCCAAGGGCGCCCCCGCTTGCCCCCCAGCAGCCTCTGCTTAACCCTGCGCGCGAGGAAAAGAACAACCATCAGAGTCCTGTAAGAACACGGTCCTTTTGCAGCAACTTAAAAACAAATAGACGCAGCATCTGGGGCTCTAAGAAGCTCCCGCAGCTGCGGAAGCCCCAGGCCTGGGCAGATGGCGCCCCGGGGCCCGGGGGCAGCGCCTCACCGCCCCCTCCGTGCCGAGGACAGAGGCAACAATTACCAGTCATCACACTGAGTGCTGAGCGTCATCCTGGCTGGATGAACAGCGAGCCTCGCTCTCCCCCCACGCGGCCCCAGCTGTGCTTTCGATGGCGGGAGCTGCCTTTGCAGAGGGGACATGAAAGGAAGGTTCTGGCTGGTCCCCAGCACCCGGCCTCGCCTCTCCCCGGAGGTGGCCGCTGGCAGGCCCCGTCCTGCCCGGGCGCGTGAGCGTGAGCCGTGTGCGTGGCTCCGCGGGGCGGCCCTCGAGGGGAAGGCGCGTGTGTGTTGCTCGCAGGCCCCACGCTGGCGGCGCGGAGCTCAGAGCGGGTTCCGTCCTGCTGCGCTGACCGGCGCCCGCGCTGACAGACGTCAGTGCAGCACGAGCCGGAGAGGCGGCGCGGCCCTCCCGTCTTCAAAACAGTATTCTCCAGGGGGCGTCTAGGGACCCAAGCACAATTAGGTCAAAGGTGCAAATTCTAATTAAATTATTCAAACAATACACGCACTTTCTGTTTAAAGTTGTTTAGAATACGAGAAACTGTGGGGGCCGGCCGTGGGGAGGAGGAGCTGGGCTGAGCCTGTGTCGGGAGCAGCAGGTCTGAACCCCGGCAGACACGGGAGGGCGGGAGGCGGGGAGGGGGCCCTCAGACCCAGGGTGCGGGGACCAGCTTCTGGGGCGGCCCAGGAGGCTCCGGGGAGGGAGGCTTCTCGGAGCCATCGGGATAGATGAGGTGCGCGCTTCGCCCCGGTCACTGAGCTCAGCTCATCTTACAGGCGCCGCTGGAAACGGTAAACAGAGAAGGGGCGCAGGACTTGGCACGAGCGGGAGCGGTGCATGCCGCGGGCGTGTGGCCCTCACAGCCAGGTCTGCGGAAACATCAAAGCACAGCGTGCAGGGGCCTCCCTGGGGGCCTAGGGGTGAGTCTCAGCTGTCACCGCTGCAGCCTGAGTTCCATCCCCAGCCAGGGAGTGACCCGCAGGGCGCAGCAGACCTCTCCTGTCTCCCCGCTGCTCCCCTCAGCAGTGGACTTCAGTGGATCCGCCTGCTCTGCTCCCCACTCTGTCTCTGGTGAATCCTCTCACCCCCGCACCTCTGGTCTGCACCCCAGCTCTTTATGCATAAATAAATAATCTTAAAATAAAAGCACAAAGTGCAGAATACCTCTAGACACACTGCCAGAACCCTGGAGCCCGAGATGCAGAGTCAACAGGGTGATGTTTCGGGATGAGAGGGCCACGCGGCCCGGGGCTTGTAGCGTTTATGGCCCACACCCGACCTTCAGACCCTTCCAGCACCCCGGCCCCCACAGGAGGGCGAGGCTGTCCTGAGAGGCAGGACAGCTTCCCAGTGGGCACGGGGACCTGCACCAGGGGTCACGGGCCTCTCGAGCGCCTACCCCAAGGGCCCTGCACCCTCCTACTGCGGAAAACATTTGCCAATCCCCTGCGGGCGGCCCGTAGCAAGAGTTTTCTTCCTCAACCTGGCTTAAAATCATGCCCACGGCCCCTTTTTCTGATGATCCCCCTGCTTATTGAGCAAAGGTGTGATTGTGTGTTTACTTTTCCGGGAACCAATTTACAAAACCAATACGTCCCCTCAGGCAGATGCTGCAAAACGCGGGGCTGATCATTTTCAATGACAGTAAAAGGACCGTTTGGGTCTCCACGCCCGGAGCCTGCAGGAGGCGCAGCTGCTCCAGCGGTGGTGACCAGCTCAGAGGCTCTCGTTTCCGGGAGAGCCCCCCGGCGCTGGGGGAGGGAGGGGAGGGAAGAGCCAGAGCGAAGGTCTCTGTTCTTTCCTGGGGCACCGGCCGGGCCCCGGCGCCCAAGTCAGTAGCTCTGAGGGTGTCGTCCCGGCCGCCTGAAAACGGGGAGACACAGACAGTGCTTGAGCGGCCCGAAGAGCACAGCACTCAGTCCGCCCAAGCGCACCGCACACCCCTCTCTGATTACACTTATAATCACGTCCCTAAAACTGGTTTGCAAAGTGACCGCCAATGAAAACCGAGCGGAGGGCGCCTCGACACACCTCCCCAGCAGGGCGGGCCTGGAGCAGGAGCCCGGAGCTGCCCTCACCAGCTTTTAAAACACACGAAGTTAAGCCCGGGTTGCATCGTGAGCCTTTTCAGTCAGCAGGTAAACGCCTAACATGTTTTAAAGAAAAGCGTCTCGATCCGCACGCAGGCTTGCTCTGGCCCCCATGACGTGCCGCCGCTGGCCCAGCAGCCCTGCCCTGGGTCCGGCTCTGCAGGGGCGTCCGCCCACCTCTCACACTGCCCGCCGGACCGCCTGCCCGGCAGCCAGCACCCGGCGCGGGTCACCCATGCCAGGGCAGCTGCGCCAGGACGACAGACAACCACGGAGCCAACAAAATGGCCGACGGTGGCCCTGGAGCACTCTGCGTCCTTGGCCAGGTGGAGGGTTTGTCACCAGGGACCCTGCTGGCCTTCAGGGCCCCCTTCACACCAGTCACTTCTCCCCGTCCCCCCTGATCACAGCCACTCCCTCTTCCCCCCAATCCCCCCCACCCACAGCTCTGTCCTTATTCTGGATCGGTATCACCGGACGCCCCAGCCCCAGAGCAGGACACGGGCCGTGACGTATGTCCACCATGTGCTCTGGGCCCTGAAGCCCCACCTTCGAGGCCGGCCACTCACTCCACTCGCCACGTGGTGGGCGGGAACACTGTTGAGCAGACGTTCGCTTCCCCGCACCCCGGCAGCAAAGTCTCCTGAAGTCCAGCAGGGCCCGGTGCTCGGCCTGAGCCAGCAAAAGGGGAGTGGACGTGATCGGGCAGGGCTTGGAGGAGTCTGCGCCTGGCTCACCTCTTGCACCCTGGCTGTGCACCAGATAGGAACAGGTCTGGGGTGCCTGCAGCCACGCAGGCTTGGCCCCTAGAACAACACAAGTGGGGGACACCAAGAGTGTACCCCTCGTCTGGAGTGAAGCTCCCCATCAGGCACCGGAAGCAGAGACGCCGCCGAGCCTGGCACCTGCCAGCAGAATGGCATGGCCAGCCAGCGGCGAGTCTTGAAGTAAAGGCTGTGTCTTGGGGCGACTGTCACAGACGCGCGGGCCCCAAGCCAATGTCACGCTTAGCTCAGTAGGACCAAAGCCAGACCCAGCACCAGGAGGGCACGGCTGGCATCCTTGCATGTCGT